GTCGTGGAAACCGGAGATTCGACCTAAGGAGGCAAGAACACACTAAGATGTATCAGGATTTGGGGCAGCACTACTGGTGGAGGAGAATGAAGAAAGATATAGTGAGTTATGTAGCTCGGTGTCTCAACTGTCAGCAGGTCAAATATGAGCATCAGAGACCCGGTGGTGTGCTACAGCGGTTAGATATTCCCGAGTGGAAGTGGGAGAGGATTACTATGGATTTTGTGAGTGGTCTCCCTCGTACCTCGAAGAAGTTTGATTCGATTTGGGTGATTGTGGATCGGCTGGCCAAGTCCGCGCACTTCATTCCGGTGTGTACTACCTATTCTTCGGAGCGGTTGGCAGAGATTTTCATCCGGGAGATTGTTAGGTTGCATGGGGTCCCAGTTTCTATCATCTCGGATAGGGGTACTCAGTTTACTTCCCATTTCTGGAAGACTTTTCAGCAAGAATTGGGTACACAGGTAGAGCTGAGCATAGCATTTCATCCCCAGACGGACGGGCAGTCCGAGCGTACCATTCAGATATTGGAGGACATGTTGTGTGCCTGTGTTATTGATTTTGGAGGTTCTTGGGCTGAGTTTTTGCCACTTGCAGAGTTCGCGTACAACAACAGCTATCAGTCCAGCATTCAGATGGCACCGTATGAGGCCTTATATGGGAGACGGTGTAGGTCTCCGGTTGGTTGGTTTGAGCCCGGCGAGGCTAGACTATTGGGGACAGAGTTGGTTTAGGATGCCTTAGAGAAGGTGAAAGTGATCCAGGAGAGACTTCGTACAGCTCAATCGCGTCAGAAGAGTTATGCGGACCGGAAGGTTCGAGACGTATCCTACATGGTGGGCGAGAAGGTCTTGTTGAAGGTTTCGCCTATGAAGGGCGTTATGAGATTTGGAAAGAAATGAAAGTTGAGTCCACGATTCATTGGTCCTTTTGAGATACTTAGGAGAGTTGGGGAGGTGGCCTACATGCTTGCTTTGCCACCCAGCTTGTCGGAAGTTCACCCAGTATTTCACGTTTCTATGCTCGGGAAGTATGTTGGGGACCCCTCCCATGTGTTAGACTTCAGCACGGTTCAGTTGGATGATGACTTGACTTACGATGTGGAGCCAGTGTCTATTTTGGGTCGTCAGGTTCGGAAATTGAGATGAAAGGATATAGCTTCGGTAAAGGTGCAGTGGAGAGGTCGGCCCGTTGAGGAAGCTACTTGGGAGACTGAGCAGGAGATGCGGAGCAGATATCCTCACCTATTTGAGACCTCAGGTATGCTTCTCGACCCGCTCGAGGACGAGCGTTTGTTTAAGTTGGGGAGGATGTGACGACCCAACCCGTCGTCTCATGTATTACAGCCCCGTTTCCCCCATTTATTGCTCTTTCATGTTTTATTATCAGCAACGGGTGAGTTAGAGTTGAATTGAATTGGTTTGGATAGGAAATGAGACACTTAGTCTCTTTAAGGAAGGTTTGGTTTGGAAAAGTCAACCGAACGTTGACTTATTAGTTAGAAGGCTCGGATGTGAATTCCGGTGATTCGGTTAGCTTCGGGAGGTGATTTGTGACTTAGGAGTGCGATCGGAAGTGATTTCGGAGGTCCGGAGTAGAATTAGGCTTGAATTGGCAAAGTTGGCATTTTGGCGAATTCCGGTGGATGGGTGAGAATTTGATCCGAGGGTCGGAATGGAATTCCGAGAGTTGCAGTAGCTTCTTTAGGTGATTTTGGATATGTCTGCAAATTTTCAGGTCATTCGGACGTCGTTTGGTTGGGTTTTTGATCGAAAGCGCATTTCGGAAGTTTTTGAAGAACTTAGGCTTGAATTCGATGTGATTTGATGGTTTTAGCGTTGTTTGATGTGGTTTGATGATGGGAACAAGTTCGTATGATGTTTTGGGATATGTTGGTGCCTTTGGTTGAGGTCCCGGGGGCCTCGGGATGATTTCGGATGGCTAACGGAGGTTTTGAACTTTGAAAATATTGCAGAAAATTGCCCAGCTGTTGCAGACCAAAATTGGTCTTCGCGTTCGCATCTGTAGGCACGCGTTCGCGGAAGGTAAAATCTTAGACCATCGCGATCGCGTGGGAAGGCCTCGCGTTCGCGTAGAAGGGCCTGGGGGCCCAGCCTAGTTTGTTCATCGCGTTCGCGTAGGAGGGTAAGCTGGACTATCGCGTTCGCGTTTGTAGTATCGCGTTCGCGTAGGGTAATATTTTGGTCAACGGAATTTGTTCAATGCGAACGCGGGGGTGTTGACCGCGTTCGCGAAGGGAAAAACCTGGGCGTCCAGAGGGGTTTTTATATTATTTTAACCGCGATCCCATTCATTATTTCCTCCATTGTTAACCTTCTTAAGAGCTTTGGGCAAGAAATTTCGAGGGTTTTGACTGAGAATCGAGCGAAGGTAAGTTCCTTGGCTTAATTACTCGAGTTTATGGTAAATTTATTATAGAAATCAGTGGAAATTCATCAAAATGGGGTAAGTTAGGGCTTGAGAAATTAGGATGTAAAAATAGAATTTGGAGGGTCAAACGAACTCCGATTTTGGTAAATTTTATATGTACGGACTCGTGGCGAGACGAGGAATCCGGTGATGTAAATTTCGTAATTTTTCGAGAAGTGGGCCCGGGGCTCGGGTTTTGCCAACTTCGTGAATTTTGGTGTTTTTCGAGTCTTTTCGATTGGGTTATATTTCTTTAGCCTATTGTAATGTATTCCTTGTGGTTTTAATCAGATTCGGCGTGCGAAGAGGTTGATTCGAGAGGGGAAGGCATAGCGAGCTAGACTTGTGGCCGGCTTGAGGTGAGTAATAGATGTAGATGATGACCTGAGGGTTTGAAACCCCGGTATATCACACTGTGACGCTATATTGAGGCGAGACACGTACTCTATGACGAGTACGGGGTCGATAGTGACTGGGAATTTTGACCTAGTCTGTTCCGATTGATGTTCGTACTGTGTTCTTGACTAGAAATTGTTTGGTAATCATCCTACTTGGTTTATGAATGTGTTTGGGGCTTTGTGCCTATCATTTGCATCCTTCAGGGATCCTTATCACTGCTTTCATGATGCTTAGCATATTTCATGATATCAGTCCTGAGTTAGACACTGCCTCGAAATGGTTAGTAAATAAATAAAGGTTTAAACACTTAGCTCTAAAATTCCTAATAATTGACACTAAAATGAATAATTTGACTGTGCCCGATTGGCTTGCATGCATATATATACCTGGACTGAGTGTGGATCGGGCTGCACGCCACAGCGAATGTTACGATGATATTGCGTTTAGGCTGTAGGAGCCCCTCCGGAGTCTGAACCCCCACAGTGAGCGCGGGTACCCAAATGGATCGGGTTGCGCGCCGCAGCGGTCATGTGCATTTCATTGCATTCATGCATTTATACCTAATTGTCTTAATTGTCCTGGTATTGTTGTTGTTTCATCGTTTTATGTGCTGAATCGCTGATTATAGCTTTATATTGTAATATTTCGGAATTTCTTACTTTCAGCCATTATATATGTTTATTACTCACTGAGTTGGAAGTACTCACTTTACTCCCTGCACCATGTGTGCAGATTCAGGTGCTCCGCAGACTTAGTGGAGCTGTTTGCTGTCTTCTTGGATCTCGGTTTAGGAGTTGTTGAGGTAGCTGCCTGACGTCCGCAGGACCCGACTTCTCCCCTTTATTGCATTTGTCTTTCCCTATCCTAGACTCTCTTTATTACTATGAATATATTACTCTGTTACATTTAGAGGCTCTAGACTCGTGACTCCAGATCTATTGGGGGAATATTTGGTATATTCGTTATTATTTTTCGTACTATTTTATCTAGTTCCGGATTGGAAACTTGATATTTACTATTTTAATCGTATTATTTGTTAACGGATTGCGAATTTGGGTTGAGAGTATTTAATTGGTCGGGCTTGCCTAGCATTAGTGTTGGGCGCCATCACGACCGGGATTGGGGTCGTGACAGTTGAAGAGCTCTCAGTCGACTGTGCCTATTTAGTGTGCATTACTCGGGAGAGAGTGCATATTTAGGTATTTGTTGAACAACATCGCTCCTAACGTATATGAGGGATCAATATGAAGGGTTTAAAGGTGGGATTAGGGATAACGAAACCTTGGGTGCAATCTAAGTGAGCTGTACTTAAGGCTAGCTAGCGTAATTCGGGAGAATATGTCTAGTATATTGTTGTAATTACTCGGGAGAGAGTTACGACAGTCAGAGTGCTCATGATCGTTAGATAAGACTTAGGCAATATTATAGAAAACGTAGCGTAAAGGATTCCGACAATAGGGGAAATCATAACTCTAGACCTCCTTAATCTTGTCTCAAATTCTTATCCTTGTTAATTGATAGTTTTACTGCTTTCTAGTATTTGTTAGTTAATTAGATAAAAATAAATATTATAATCTTTATAATTAGGAAATTGTTTGGACTTGTGTTTCTTAGCAATATTGAACAATTGTAGCTAAGTCTTAGTTCTCTGTGGAATTCGACTCCGGACTTGTAAACCGGATTATATCTGCAACGATCGCTTTGTCCTTTTTATAAGGCATAGTTGGGCGTGATCACCACTTAACTGGCATATATTGTTGCTTGGCATGTTGGTTAAATTCTTAATTTTACTTTAACTTAAATAGATTATTTTATTTTTTTTGGGCAAATATTTTAGAGAGCCTCTATTGTTAATAGTTGTAACTCTTCTAACTTAAGACTAAACAAACTAATGGGCTAAAGCTATTTCTCGTTAGATAATGTGATGATTGTTATTATTTACTCTTCGCTCTTTTAAGTATTGACACCGCACAGAAAATCTTGCGTACACCTCTGTTTGAACCGTGATATGATGAGACTACAATATGTACACAAATGAGTCATTATGATTTAGCTTTTCTATTATATAGAAAAGCTAAGAATGGACGACCAAGGGTAGATTTGTCATTTTACTCTGTCATTTTATTTTATTTTCTATACATATTCCTGCCCAAAACACTCCTGACACAATTCTAGAACCCTCCTCTTCTTTCATAAACCTATTTTCTTCATTTCATACTTCGAACTACAACTCATCTTTCAGTTATATTCATCTTCTAGCTAGGTATCTCAATTTCAGGTAAGCTTTCCCCTTAATTTTTGCTTTAATCTTCTCCGGCTTTTGCTTGTCTGAATCACTTATTTGCCCTTGAACAATTTATTGTGCTTCTCAATGAAATGTCTTATGTGTGAATTCAAATGCAATCAAAAGCCACATACTGCTCTACCATCGTTCTACCCTTTCGATAGAGATTGAGTGTACTTCGGAGCTTGCGGATGTATCGAAGCCATCTCTTCTTTTGTTTAATCTCAGAAGATCTCATTCATTGAGATCGAGCCCGATAAATGGTAAGATTATTTATTTGTTAAACATTTTCATTTGTTGTGAGAAATTTTCATGATTAGTTTTCTCAACTACTTATTCCTATTAATTGAACAAAATAGTTTTCTAAGATGAGATCTGAATATATCATAGAGGGATATAAGGTTTCAATTGTTTTCTTTATTTATCTGTTTACGCTTTTTGTTCCCTTTATTTTTACAAAACGCGGTTGTAACGACCCGACTGGTCGTTTTGAGCAATTACGTCCGGTTTGGCAGTTTGAGGTCATGAGCAGCTTCATATTATGTGTATCGACTTGCGTGCATGGTTGGATTCTTTTTCCGGATGAATCGGAGTCGAATTAGAAGAAGGAATCTAGTTTTGGAAACTTAAACGGTGAGAATTTGACCGAAATTTGACTTTTGAGTAAACGGCTCCGGAATGAGTTTTGGATGATGTTAGTAGCTTCGTATGGTGATTTTGGAATTAGGCGTGTGTTCGGATTTGGATTTGGAGGCTCGTAGGGTGATTTGAGGCATTTCGGCTAAAGTTGGAAAAAGTTGAAGTTTGGAAAATGGAGAGGTTTGACCCATAGTTGACTTTTGTGTTATCGAGGTCGGAACGCGATTCTGAAAGTTGGAACAGCTCTGTTATGTCATTTGGGACTTGCCTGCAAAATTTGGTGTCGTTTGGAGTTGATTTGATATGGTTCGGACGCTTGGTTGCAATTCTAGAAGTTCTTGAAGTTCATAGTGATTTTCATGCGTTTTGGCATCAGATTCGTGGTTCTAGAGGTTATTTTGATGTTCCGATCGCGCGAGCGAGTTCGTGTTATATGTTCAGACTTGTGTGGATGTTTGGTTTGGAGCCCTGAGGACTCGGATGAGTTTCGAAAGTGTTAAGTGTTTGGAAGAAATTTCTGATTTTCTGCTGTCTGATCTCGCATTTGCGAGTAACGGGTCGCATTTGCGACCACCGCTTTTGCGGGCATTGAATCGCATTTGCGAAAAAAAGCTGGGGCTGGCAGGCTTCGCATTTACGAAGCCAGTCTCGCAAATGCGAAAACCATCTGGGCAGGGGAGTTTCGCATTTGCGATGTTTTGGGCCGCTTTTGCGAAGGCCCTTCGCATTTGCGAAGATTTGCATCGCAATTGCGATGTTGTCAGGGTAATCCAGGCTTCGCATTTGCAAACACTTTTGTGAGTTCGCATTTGCGAAGCCAGTCTCGCAAATGCAACATCTCCAGCCTGCTAAAAGGTGGGTATTCCGAGTTTTTGCTTCATTTTTCATATATTTGAACCCTAGAGTCGAGGTGAGCCGATTTTGTGAAGATATTTTTATACCAAGTCATTGGGTAAGTATCTTTGATCAATTTCCAACTATATTTTGTGATTATATCTTAGATTTAACATCAAATTCAAGAGAATCTAAAGGAAAATTTGGGGAAAATTGTAAAATCTTTCAAAAATGTAAAATGATGATTTGAAGGACCAAATGGAATCGGAATTTGATAATTTTTGTATGGATGAACTTGTATCGGAATGGGTATTCGGTTTTTGTAAATTTTCTCTGGTTTCGAGGTGCGGACCCGGGTGTTGACTTTTTGCAAATTGTATAAGAATCAAAGCTTTGTTAATTGAAATTGTTTTCTCTTGCATTGTTTGATGTATTCAAGTCGTTTTTGGCTAGATTGAGCCGAGCGTAGATGAATTGGTAAAGGAAAAGCTAAATTGAGTATTGAATTAGCCGGATTGAGGTAAGTATCTTGCCTAACCTTGTGTGGGGGACTCTCCCCTTAGGATTTGAGTCTTCCATGCTTATTGTAATCCGTGCACGCGAGGTGATGAGTGTGTTCTCGGACTTATTTGTGGAAAAATTTGCCTTTAGGGTTCTTAGGTCCTTATGTTCATTAAGTGGGAAGTTTTCCGATATGATTGGGTTTCCTAATTGCTTGTTTTACCTCTATATGCTCCATACGACGTTATTAGCTTTCCTCTAACTCTTACTTGTTACTTGGCCCTTATTTGCCTTAATTGAAGTGACTGTCCTCCTTATTGTTTTGTTACTTCTAAATTGTGAATTCCTCTATGACCCCGTGCCTATATGCTATGTGTCCATATTGTTGTGGTTGCCGGTTGTAGTTATCATGTGCCTTATATGTCTTGTTGTTTTTGTAAAGGTTGTTGTGCTTCTTGGTTTTTCCGTAATACTCTTGTTGCCGTGTACTCATACTCTTGGTGGTAGAAATCCTTGTGATTGGGTTGTTGAATTGTTGTTGTTGTTGATTTTAAACTATGTTTGGTTGTTGATATGTTGAGGAGGAATAAGGGAGAATTGATGTTGTCTGGTGGGATTGGGTTGTACGCCGCAACAAGGAGTAATAAGGGTGGACAGGTGGGATCGGGTTGCACGCCGCAAAAGGAGGAATAAGGGTGATATAAATTGAGGAGTAATAAGGTGGACTGGTGGGATCGGGTTGCACGCCGCAACAAGGAGTAATAAGGGTGAATGATCATGTTGTTACTGATATGGTGATATATATACTATTTACTCTTGTTGTAATTGTTAAGGAGGAATAAGGGAGGATTGGTGGGATCGGGTTGCACGCCGCAACAAACATATACTAGTTACTTTTATTGTAACTGTTTCGGAGGAATAAAGAAGGATTGGTGGGATCGGAATGCGCGCCGCATCATTATATATATGCTTATGTATTCCTCTTTGACTGTACAAGTTATTCGGTGGTTTGGCATTTCATTTAGGATTTGGTTATAGTTGAATACGAAAAAGACCCTAGTTCATTTGTTTAAGACTTTGACAATTTGTATTTCGGGTTTCACTAAGTTTTGAAGATCGAGTTATTGGCATTGAGTTGTAGACTTGCCGTTGTTCCTTGAATTCTTTCTCTGAAACTGTTTCTCTGGTGAATTGATTTTTAAAGTAAGTTTACTACGTTGAATCATTCCCTATTGTCCTATTAAGTTATTAGTAATATCGTGATTTAAAATAAAGGAATTAGTATTACGCCGCTATATATGACTTTTAAATTTGAAATCGCTGTGTATATATACACCTTTCAATTATTCAAATTCCTATAAATGTTATGTTTTATTTCAATTAGTTTCTCAATTAAATTTCCTTAACCCGATGATATTGAATCTTACTTAAAAAGAAATTTGTACTAAGTTTTGATTTATTAAATCATATATTAGAAGTAATAATTCATTCTATGTTGTATTTTATTTAAAAAGGGTATTTTCTTTATTCAAATGATTTCTAAAAATAACTTCATCTTTTCTTGTTGATTTTCTAATTGATTTAGAAGCTGTAATCTACTTTATATGATATAAATGAGACTCCTTGAACATCTTGATTGCATTGGTTATGGACCCTATGTACTGAGTAGCATGAGGATGACGTTGTGCAAAGTGAGATAGAAATATGTGGGCACAAGGTGCCGTGTGTGCTAAAGGTTTGGAAATTGAGGTTATGATATGAGACACCGAGGATTGAGATGGTCGGGATTGTGTATTAGAAACGATGTGATTGATTGAGTTGACATCGCCTTCTTTGTTCGAACATATTCTTACTTGTCTGTGTCCCAGTTATGTTGGTGTTAATTTACTTGGTTATTGTTCGCTACTATCTGTGTTCCCCTTTATTGTCTCTACTGTTTTAGTTTGATTTTCTCCTGCTATTGATATTACTTTGTTATCCTTATCCTGGTAGTTCATTATCATACCTTGTTCAATCTACTTGACTAGTAGGGTCTTGACTGTTCCTCGTCACTACTCCACCGAGGTTAGTCTTGATAATTACTGGGCACCGCTATGGTGTGCCCATACTACACTTCTGTATATTTTTTTTGTACAGATCCAGGTATTCGATCGGTAGCAGCTGTGCGGATCGTCGCGATGGAGACTCAAGGCAAACCTGCTGCTGCGTTCGCAGGCCTCGGAGTCACCTTCATTTGTACTTATTTTCATTTGTTCCTTTCATCCTGGAACAGTGGTGTATTTATTATGTATAACTACTCTTAGAAAGGCTTATGACTTGTACCATCCGTTTTGGAAATTGTAATTGATCAGAGGTATATAATTTGAAGTTAGTGAATATCAATGTTATTTCTGTAAATGTTAGGCTTACCTAGTTTAGGGACTAGGTGCCATTACGACTCTTTCGGAGGGATTTTGGGTCGTGATAGCGGTGTTTGTCTTTCCAGCAACTGCAGATAGTACTAAAGATGTCGACAAAGGATATTAATTGAGGGATGGGTTGGAGTTTCATAAGAGCATTAGCTGAGATAGTGTTGCTTTTTCCTTACTCTCACAATTTGCATGTTTCAATCTGCTTTATTCTCGGTAATTTCTTTTCTTTCTAATTAATTTTTGTTGATGACTTTTGTCGTAAAAGATTAAATACAGATGATTCATAGTAGTAAGGAAGAAATAACTTTTGTTGTTAATAAGTATAAAATGCTCTATTAAATAATTGAGTAATACAACAAATTCAATCTTGTGGCATATCAAATAGAGTTTGTGAACGACCTGTATAATCATTGTTGAATTTGTGTAAACAATTAAACAATCAAAGAAAGTAAGATAGAAAGAAGAGAGGTTCCATGAACAACCACTAAATTAAGTGGAGATGCACTAGACAGCTGTACAGGAGTCGAGGATAGAAGAATTTGTGGAAGATGAATTTAATAGTCTTCTTATTAAGATTCAAGACAGACAAAAATATGTTTCGAGAAAAAAGGAATTCAATGAGATTTAGTATGTATGAGTTTGTATGTTTTTTCTTATAAATGCAGTTATATATAAAGCAAAGTAGCATGTATGCGAGATTTTTAAATTACTTTGTTATCAATTTCCTCTTTGAGTTCTCCATTGATTGATTATTTTATTACAGTAGAAGTTAATAAAGATGCACAACAACTCTATATTGTTGCGAACTTCTTTAAAAGTTGATCAAAATGTATTGTTGCGGAAAGTAGTAGGAGTATGCTGTTATTCCGAGTTAATGGGTCATCTTAATGTATATGTGATTGGTATTGTTGATTTAAGTCTTTTTCCCTCTCATGTCTTGCCTTTGAGCGCTCTAATACGTTGGACGATTACTAAAACGTTTCAAAAATCCTCATTTTGGTCCATTTAATTTTTTTACTTCTTATAGGAAAATCAGGAAAAGTATCTATATTTTCTTATGCAAGCGACATGCTCTTAGATGCTTTGATTCAATACTATTTCTATCAAGTTTAGAGGATCAAAATAAACCTTGTAGATTATGCTGTTGTGGTTGAAAAGTTATTGCTTGCGGTCTTACTGTTTAAGAATTGAATCTTTAATTAGTGTCAAGAAACCAGAAAATGATGTCTTTTGGTGGTTGGAGCACGTATATGATGAGCGAAACATGGAAGGGGACTGTCAAAGAATGAGAAGGCTCAAAAGTAGTGCATTGTCTTAAATCTTTTTCATATCTTTCATCCTAAGTAGCATTAAAGCTTTTATAGTTATTCATACATATTGCTGCCTATTGAAGTGACTATTTGTTGGAGTTATTATAGCATTGAATTCTCCAAATAAAGAAAGTCTCTGTGAATTATTTCAGTAAGTTATTTTATTCTTCAAGAGTGCCATTTATTATAAAACTGATTCTTTCTTCTACTCTAACGCGTGTTCTGAAAGTTAAATCTCTCAACTTATCTTATCTTCTACTGGTGAGTGTTCCCTTGCAGGATTTTGGACCTGTGTTATATGAATAAAAATATTTATAAAATATTTCCATGAGTTGAAATATCTCAAGGTTGACATCTTCTTGTATTAGCAACTTTTTTTTTAAGGTTGTATGTTGGAGATGTGAAAGAAATACATCTTCAAGTGCAATAGATGTGCATGTTGTTGTGTCTTCGTCAAAAACAACAGTAAAGTTGTCTTCTGAAAGGAGGTGGGAGAATACTAGGAAAACTATCTGCAGAATCAGTTGATGTATACTATTTATTGGTAACCTGGATCTAGACTCTGGATTTAGATGTTTTTCATTCTTACAGTTGAATTGGCTATAATTGGGTTATATTAGTTATGTTTTCTTCTGGCTATCATTGGGTTATATTAGTTATATTTTCTTTTCCTTCGTGTCTTTTGCTATCCATTTTCCAATATGACCATAGTTTTGAAGTTATTGTAAAAGAGCTACTAGATTCTTGTCATTTTTTCCTCTAAATTGCCAAAAAATTTAAATTTGATTTTGCTCACATGAGCACAGACATCTAAGTTACAGCGTTGGGCATGTGCTGACAGCACAGGCGTCACTTTATCTAGTATATCATAGACATGAATACGAAAATACACAAACACGTTTATCAATTAATCTTCCAATATAAAGACATCCAACGGCACTTGAGCACTTGGGATTACCCTTAATTAGAGAGATAAATAATTAATGGAAAGAGGAAATTTCGTATCAGTAGACTGGCAGTATGGCAGATAATTAGATGAACATTATTGACCGGTCTTTCCCAATATACGTCAATTCCTAATAGATTCATCAACCATGCATGGATTTTTTTTGGTTTTCTCCGGTGTCCGTTATCTATATTGGAGTCTAACAAAATTCGAATTTGCACAGAAAGTCTCACATAGGGGGGGGGGGTAGGGGGGGTATCACGGACTCAATTCCCGCTATAGATCGTGACGGCATCCAACGTTGCCGTTAGGCAAGCCAATGGTGAACAATCAACTTACTTATTAATTTTATTACTTTTGAAATCATGAATTTTATTAAATAAAGAAATTAATGCATTGAAAATCATGGATACATACGATATTAGTAAGATATAAAATAAAAAGGTGATAATATTTAAGCAAAACCATTAACATCTACTAAAATCTTCCAAAATTTGATGTCACAAGTGCATGAGCATCTACTAGGAAGTGCAATACCAATACAACTTCTGTCTGGAATACAAAATAGACAGGATAACATAAAAGAATATGATAGGAACTCTATGTGCTGCGAATCGTATCATGGGATGCAGCTCATCGTAAAGTCCCCTCAATAGTTGCGTCCTTGCGCCTAAATGACTATCAGAAGTATATAGCTACACAATAAATGCAAAAGTGTAACATGAGTACGTAAATCAACGCGTACCCAGTAAGTATCTATCCTAACCCCGGAGAAGTAATGACGAGGAGTCGACATCGACACTTACTAGTGGTCCAATGAATCAATATATTAAATTATGAACAAATATGAAACACAACAACAATAATGAGGTAAGAACTGTAACTAACAAAAATCCTCCAACATTATGACAATATAAATTTCTCAAATCTCACATACTATCTCAACATGTAAGAAATATCAGGTGCTATCTCAAACAGATAAGGAATATCATATAAATGCCAGGTCTCAACTAAAAGGGAAATCTCATAATTATTCGGACTCCTAGCGATATTACGCACGAGTTATGATGAGGTCGTACGGCCCGATCCAGAATAATATGTACACCGCAGGGGTCGACTGACGCGAACCATATATGCATCTCAAATATACTGTCGAAGCGTTCTACCCGAACCACAGGAAGAGAACAAACTTATCGAATTGCGAATCACGTGTTTGAAACACAAGAACAGGAACATAAAGTAAGCATAACTATTACCAGCGATGAAATATCCCACCAAGCACCTCAAGGTAATGAGGTTCGTTCTAACATGATCTCTAATCAAATTACATTTATAAGTTTTTGGTAATTAAGCTAACAAGTTGAGTTCAGGTAATACAAATATCGCATATTAAAGTCCTAAGTCTACCTGGACATAAGCATGATTTTAGCTACATACGGACTCTCGTCACCTCGTACATACGTAAATCCAATAACAAGTAGCACATAACAAATACAGTACATACGGGGTAGTTTCCTTTTCACAAGGTTAGACAAGAGACTTGCCTTGCTCCGAAATCTAATAACCGGCTCCAACGCCTCTCTAACACCTCAAACCGATGTCAAACGATCCGAAACTAATCAAACAACGTGCAAATCAGTCAAAATATACTCCAATACTCATAATTTAATAATTTGTAACAATTTCCAACTCCGCTCGAAAAGTCAACAAAGTCAACCCTCGGGTCTACGTGCTCAGATTTCGAAAATTATCAAAAATAAATATTACCCATAACTTATATAGTCTATATTCATAAAATTATCCAATTTTGTCCATGAATTGACCATCAAATCAACGATTTATCATTTCTCAACTTTGGGCTCAGAATTCCAATTTCTACAATCCAAATACAGATAAAAATAATAAACAACGAAAATAATCATGATAAAACATTAAAATAAAGTTTATATATTTACTCCCTTATTGAGACAAGAACAACGCCGCGAAAATCACCTCAAACGGAGCTCTAGAACTCAAGATATGCTCAAAATAAAATGCTCGGTCTACCGAGGTGATTTTTGTTCTTTGCTTTCGCGGCACACCTTCGCGTTCGCGAAGAGCAAATTTTTGCGTTGACCGGTCAACCCAGAATTCCTTCTTCACATTTGCGGGACCGCTCTCGCGTTCGCGAAGAACAAAAGTTCGCACCAAAAACCAGCAATCTTTTTCGACACAAAAATATTGATAACTCTCTCATATGACCTCGGAATTCAATGATTCTTGTTGCTATGGTTCCGTAATTACGACACGATCTAATGGTCCAATATAATCACAAATCAAAGGTCATTTTCTCAATATGGTACCCTTTATATCCAAAGAAACAACGCTAAAATATTAAATAAGAGCGCAACACAACCCAAACCCATCCGAAACACACTCGAAGTCCCTAGGACTCCGTCCAATCACACCAACCAGTCCCAAAACATAACACAAACCTACTTGAGGCCTCAAATAACACCAAACAACATTAAAACTATGAATCGCACATCAATTCAAGCCTAATAAACTAATGAACTTTTAAACTTCTAAAACTCATGCCGAACCATGCCAAATCAACACGGAATGACCTCAATTGCATGAAAGTCCCAAGTGATCCAACGGACCTATACCAACTCCCGGAACCATAATCCGGACCCGATATAAACAAAGTCAACTCTCGGTCAAACCTAT